CCTAATTCGCACTTGGATGGGACCCCAGCAGCCTCCTTGTGGAAACCTAGTCCACAGTGCGGGGATCAGTTTGTGTGTGGCACGCATAGATGGACAATTCAGTTTTGTTAATCATTGTACCTGATCATTCTGAGTCTGTCTTGCGGCAAGGCCCAGATCAGTGAGAAAGGAGTGGGTGCGGCAGATACTGCACAAATCTGCCTTACTATAAACTACTTCACACGAATGTTATCCTCCTGCGCCCACTATGCCCTGAAGTACACGGTGGTCATTTCGCGACAATCGAGTTGTTGAGTCCCTGAAACCGTTAGCGACGACCTAATTAACTTTCTTCATATTCACCATAATTTCGTTATCATGATTTTGTAGGGCTATATTTGTGAACAGCCAGGACGTAACCACATCCTACTTCTTATAGTAAGAAGATTGAAGGTCGCAGCCTTTAACTGCAGCTGTAGATGGCAACGGTGGAAGGCATGCGTGTACTGTTTCACAGTTGTTTGTATGCCTGGCAACCTCCCCTCCCCCGCATTCTGTGTCAAAGTTCCGTTCGGTCTTGTTCACTCACCCTTATTAACCTTCTTCTATCGACTTACTTCGCGCGTGGCCACAAGTTACTTATATAACAGACAGGTAACTTAGTACAATTGTGATTAAACTCATGGCTCCCCGTGGGAGGACCTCATAGCTGAGGTGGCTAGAGCGTTTACTGTACGAAGGCCTTTTCCTTGCTCTCGTAATTTCGAATGCCACCGAGGTCACCGAGTCTTTCCCAGCTAGGTCAGCTGAACTCCTCTGATTATCAGCGATAAACTCTCAGCTATGACATCCTGTTTCAGCCAATAGCTTTACGGCGCTTCTTCTCTGTAAAATACATCTTCGAGCCCTCTAATTCCCGGTAATATTTCGTGTTCGGTTAGATGGCGAGAGATCTGGTGATTCAGGCGCCATAATCTAACTTGCTCCTCAACAGTGCGACATTGGTCTGGATATTAGAGCATGTTAAACACGCAGGCTTGTTCGATCTATTAAGTGCCTTGTCTGCCCTAAACCCCTTCTAATTTGTCTTACAATTTTCCCGCATGACAGATCGAGTGCCGCATTCATTAATCATCTACGGGATCACCCCTCAGACGTTTTTAATGTGCCAACCAGTCCGGTTTTTGCCACCCTGACTGAGGATCAGCAGAAAACAGGTAAGACTCCTGGTTTGTATATGATCTTCTTCTTTAGTTGCCCAAAGTTTAAAGGCTCTCGACCAACAGCATGTGCTAAACTTGTCAAAGGCCCTGCAGGCGGACGACTCAAAAGGTGTTCTGGTAAGTTGTCTTGATCGTGTTTGTCCATGTCTTTGTTTCCATGCTTTCTTTCGTCCATCCCACCCGCTGCCATATTCTCGCTCCAGTCCACCAAAACACTGCAAATTATGGAGATTTTATCGAGTAGCTAACTTTTCGACCTAATTAGGACATTCCAAAGTGACTTTTCTGTATGCGGTAAGCTTGTCTGAGCCCCAGAGTCAACTTGTGTTGGACTTCACTAATTTGGGTTCACCGTGGAAAGTAACCTACACTCCTTATCTATCCACTCCCAGGCCGTCGTAAGACGGAGCTTAGCAACAAGAAGCCGATGATGGATATCAGGCATCACATGCGGTGTTTCCTTGCAATACCCGAAGGATTGCCTCGTTTGGTACAATTTAGATTGCCAATTCATCCCAAATTTCGATGATTCGTTTACAGCTTACTAAAAAGCAAGTTTGTGACTGAATAGCGTCGATTGCCTCTACCACCACCACCACCACTACTGTCCGCTACGTTATTGCGTTTCCAAATCGGAAGTCGGGGAAAATCTCGAGTTCAAATGGACGCTTGAGTCATAAGGCATTATGTCCTCATAGGGGTGCGTGGAAGCAATGCTTCTGATCGGCCTACCACCAATTGGCGTTGCCGGCATCTACAAGAAAAGTTGTGGGTACGTATGGTGGCTGATGTGTATGGACATGAGAGCCGAAAGACCTTGCAGCGTTGGCGACGAACCTGAATCGTTTAAAGCGCTATTAGTGTGTGCTCACGTCAGTGAACTAGTAGGTGGGAGGAACGACGGAACATGCGGGTAGATTAGTCAGCCAGTCATACCCCGAACCAGCCAGGCAGGACAGGAACAGGGTGCAGATAGTCTATA